GTCACCTCCCGTGTCCCCCTCCTCCTGTCCCCTTGTCCCCCTCCTGTCCCTCCCGTGTCCCCACGCACCTCCTGTGTCCCCCCTGTCTCCCCTTTGTCCCCCTGTGTCCCCCCTGTGTCCTCCCATGTCCCCTCTGTCCCCCTGTCCCCTCCCGTGTCCCCTCCATGTCCTCCTGTGTCCTCCCCATCTTCCGTGTCCCTCCCGTGTCCTCACGCACCTCCCGTGTCCCCCTGTGTCCTCTCGTGTCCCCTGTGTCCCCCTGTGTCCCCCTGTGTCCCCTGCCCCTGTGCCCCCCATGTCCCTTCCAGTGTTCCCTCCCTGTGTCCCCCTGTGTCCTCCCTGTCCCCCGTGTCCCTCTCCCTTCCCCTGTGTCCCTCCTGTGTCCCCCACGCACCTCCCGTCCCCGTGTCCCCCCCTGTCCCCCCCCGTGTCCCCCTCTGTGTCCTCCCTGTCCCCTGTGTTTCCCTCGTGTCCCCCCGTGTCCCCCTGTGTCCCCCCTGTGCCCCTGTGTCCCCTGTGCCTCCATGTCCCTTCCGTGTTCTCCTCTGTGTCCCTTCTGTCCCTCCTGTGTCCCCCTCGTCTCCCTCCTGTGTCCCCTCCTGTGTCCCCTCTGTGTCCCCCCACGCACCCCCTGTGTCCCCCTCCCTGTCCCTCCCTTGTCCCCTCCTGTGTCCCCTCGTGTCCCCCTCCCCTGTCCCCTCCCTGTCCCTCCTGTGTCCCCCCTCGTGTCCTCCGTGTCCTCCCCATCCCCATGTCCCTCCTGTGTCCCCTCCGTGTCCTCCTTTGTCCCCTGCATGTTCCCTCTCGTCCCCTGTGTCCCCCTGTGTCCCCCCCTGTGTCCCTCCTGTGTCCCCCTGTGTCCCTCCTGTCCCGCTGTCCCTCGTGTCCCCCCCTGTGTCCTCCCCATCCCCTGTGTTTCCCTGTGTCCCCCTGTCCCTGTGCCTCTAAAATTCAATATTTTCCCAAGAATTCAATATATCCTCAAAATCTAATATTTTCCCAAAATCCCAATCTCCCAAAAATTCAAAATCCCCCAAAAATCCAATATTTCCCCCAAATTCAATATTTTCCCCCAAAAATTCAATATTTTCCCAAAAATCCAATATATCCTCAAAAAATTCAATATTTTCCCCCAAAATCCAATTTCCCGAAAAATCCAATATATCTCAAAAATCCAATATCCCCTCAAAAGAAATTCAATATATCCTCAAAAAAATCCAATACATCCTCAAAAAAATCCAATATCCCCCCCAAAAAATCCAATATTTTCCAAAAAAAATTCAATATTTTCCCCAAAAATTCATATTCCCCCAAAATCCAATGTTTTCCAAAAATTCATATTCCCCAAAATCCCAAATCACACCCCAAAATCCAATATGTCCTCAAAAAATTCAATATTTCCCCCAAAATTCAATCTTCCCAAAAATCCTCAAATCCTCTCCCAAAATTCAGTATTTTCCCCGAAAATCCCAAATCCCCCAAAAATTCAATATTTTCCCCAAAAATCCAATCCCCCAAAAATCCAATATTTTCCCCAAAAATCCCAATCCCCCCAAAATTCAATATTTCCCCAAAAAAATTCAATATATCCTCAAAAAAATTCAATATTTTCCCCCAAAAATCCAATATTTTCCCCAAAAAAAATTCAATATTTTCCCCCAAAAATCCAATATTTTCCCCAAAAAATGAAACCCCCTCAGACCATTCCCAGGTGTGGAATCCGGATATCTTTAATATCTTTATACAGGATTTATTAGCACAGGATTAATAAGAAAGGTTACAAAGTCACGTCCAGCTCCTCATCCTCTCCCTCTGCTCTTGCTTTTCTTCCTTCATTTTTATTTTTATTTTTATTTTTAATTTTATTTTTATTTTTATTTTTATTTTTATTTTTATTTTTATTTTTATTTTTATTTTTAATTTATGTGTGGTTTTTATTTTTATTTTTATTTTTTGTGAGTTTTTATTTGGGTTTTTTGGGTTTTTATTTGGGTTTTTTGTGGGTTTTTATTTGGGTTTTTTGTAGGTTTTTTTGAGATTTTTATGGGTTTTTATTGAAATTTTTGTGGGTTTTTTTGAGATTTTTATGGGGTTTTATTGAGATTTTTGTGGGTTTTTATTTGGGTTTTTTTGGTTTTTATTTGGGTTTTTTTGGGTTTTATTTGGGTTTTTTGTGGGTTTTTATTGAGATTTTTTTGAGTTTTTATTGAGATTTTTATGGGGTTTTATTGAGATTTTTGTGGGGTTTACTGAGATTTTTTTAGGTTTTTATTTGAGATCTTTGCAGATTTTTATTAAGATTTTTGTGGCTTTTTATTGAGAATTTTGTGGGGTTTTATTGAGATTTTTGTGGGGTTTTGTTGGTGTTTTTTGTAGGTTTTTATTGGGGTTTTTTGTAGGTTTTATTGAGATTTTTGTGGGGTTTTGTTGAGATTTTTGTGAGTTTTTATTGAGATTTTTGTGGGGTTTTGTTTTCTTTTTCTGGGGTTTTTATTGAGATTTTTGTGGGGTTTTATTGAGATTTTTATGGGTTTTTATTGGGTTTTTTGTGGGTTTTTAGGGTTTTTATTGAGATTTTTATGGGGTTTTATTAAGATTTTTATGGTGTTTAATTGAGATTTTTGTGAGTTTTTATTGTTTTTATGTGTTTTTGTTTGTTTTTTTTCTTGTCTTTTTTTTTGCAGTTTTTTCTTTGTGTGTTTTTTTTGGGGGGGGTTGTTCATTAATTAATTAATTCATTTATTTTTATTTATTTATTTATTGGGGGGTGGTGATGGGAGGGGGTTTTGGGATTTTATTTACACCACAAAGAACACGGCACAAAACACGGGCCCGGCCTCTGCCCCTCCCCCAACACCCCCCTCCCCCCAAAAACCCCCAAAACCCCCAAAACCCCCAAAAACCCCCCAAAAATAAAAGAATTTATGGCTTTCGTGTCTATTGAGAGTTCAGTGCCACGACCCCAAATCCTTCACCCCAAATCCCCCCCAAAAATTCCACGGGGAACCCCCCACCCCAAAAGGGACCTCCTGCTGATACAACCCCAAAAACATCGACCCCAAAAGGGTTTTTTGGGGGGTGCTTGGTCCCAAAAAATCAACATCCTGACCCCAAAAAGGGGTTTTTGGGGGTGCTTGGTCCCAAAAATCGACATCTGATCCCAAAAGGGTTTTTTGGGGGGTGCTTGGTCCCAAATCCTCAACATCCTGGTCCCAAATCCAAGGAATGACCCCCCAGGTGATGTCACCAACCCTAACAAGGTCTCTGCTCCTCCAGACCATCCCAAATCCAAGGAATGTCCTTCCTGACTGAGTTTTCCCACCCCAAATCCAAGGAATGACCCCCCAGGTGATGTCACCAATCCCAACAAGGTCTCTGCTCCTCCAGACCATCCCAAATCCAAGGAATGATCCCCCAGGTGAGGTTTCCAACCCCAAAATCCAAGGAATGACCCCCCAGGTGAGGTTTCCCACCCCCTCCAAGATTTCTGCTCCTTATTCTCCTTCAGATCACCCCAAATCCAAGGAATGACCCCCCAGGTGAGGTTTCCAACCCCCACCAAGATTGAGGTCTCTGATCCTTCTCCTCCTCCAGACCACCCCAAATCCAAGGAATGACCCCCCAGGTGATGTCACCAACCCCAACAAGGTCTCTGCTCCTCCAGACCACTCCACATCCAAGGAATGACCTCCCAGGTGAGGTGTCCACCCCCCTCCAAGGTCTCTCCTCCTCCAGATCATCCCAAATCCAAGGAATGACCCCCCAGGTGAGCTTTTCCACCCCAAAATCCAAGGAATGTCCTTCCTGGCCAAGGTTTCCCACCCCAAATCCAAGGAATGACCCCCCAGGTGATGTCACCAATCCCTCCAAGGTCTCTCCTCCTCCAGACCATCCCAAATCCAAGGAATGACCCCCCCAGGTGATGTCACCAACCCCAACAAGGTCTCTGCTCCTCCAGACCATCCCAAATCCAAGGAATGACCCCCCAGGTGATGTCACCAACCCCAACAAGGTCTCTGCTCCTCCAGACCATCCCAAATCCAAGGAATGACCCCCCAGGTGATGTCACCAATCCCAACAAGGTCTCTGCTCCTCCTCCAGAACATCCCAAATCCAAGGAATGACCCCCCAGGTGATGTCACCAACCCCAAAAAGGTCTCTCCTCCTCCAGACCATCCCAAATCCAAGGAATGTCCCTCCTGGCTGAGCTTTCCCACCCCAAATCCAAGGAATGACCCCCCAGATGAGGTTTCCAACCCCCTCCAAGGTCTCTGCTCCTTCTTCTCCTCCAGATCATCCCAAATCCAAGGAATGACCCCCCAGGTGAGGTTTCCAACCCCCTTTGAGGTCTCTGCTCCTTCTTCTCCTCCAGATCACCCCAAATCCAAGGAATGACCCCCCAGGTGATGTCACCAACCCCAACAAGGTCTCTGCTCCTCCAGATCATCCCAAATCCAAGGAATGTCCTTCCTGGCCAAGGTTTCCCACCCCAAATCCAAGGAATGACCTCCCCAGGTGAGGTTTCCCACCCCAAATCCAAGGAATGACCCCCCCAGGTGATGTCACCAACCCCAACAAGGTCTCTGCTCCTCCAGATCACCCCAAATCCAAGGAATGACCCCCAGGTGATGTCACCAATCCCAACAAGGTCTCTGCTCCTCCAGATCATCCCAAATCCAAGGAATGACCCCCCAGGTGATGTCACCAATCCCAACAAGGTCTCTGCTCCTCCAGACCATCCCAAATTCAAGGAATGTCCTTCCTGGTCGAGCTTTCCCACTCCAAAATCCAAGGAATGACCCCCCAGGTGATGTCACCAATCCCAACAAGGTCTCTGCTCCTCCAGATCACCCCAAATCCAAGGAATGACCCCCCAGGTGATGTCACCAACCCCAACAAGGTCTCTGCTCCTCAATCTTCTCCTCCAGACCATCCCAAATCCAAGGAATGACCCCCCAGGTGATGTCACCAATCCCAAAAAGGTCTCTCCTCCTCCAGACCATCCCAAATCCAAGGAATGACCCCAAAGAGACCCCCCCAAACCATCAGACCCCTCCCAAGAGAAAAGGGGGTCAAAGAGACCCCCCCAAACCAGCAGAGCCCCCCCCAAAAAAATGGGGATCAAAGAGACCCCCCCAAAAGAAGGGGACACACAGAGAGACCCCCCCCAAACCATCAGAGCCCCCCCAAATAAAAGGGGGGTCAAAAAGACCCCCCCAAACCATCAGACCCCCCCCAAACAAGGGGAGGTCAAAGAGACCCCCCAAACCATCAGGACCCCCCCCAAAAAAAGGGGACACACAGAGAGACCCCCCCAAACCATCAGAGCCCCCCTGAAATAAAAGGGGGGTCAAAGAGACCCCCAAACCATCAGAGCCCCCCCAAAAAAAGGGGGGTCAAAGAGACCCCCCCAAACCATCAGAGCCCCCCAAAAGAAGGGAACACACAGAGAGACCCCCCAAACCATCAGAGCCCCCCAGAATAAAAGGGGGCTCAAACAGCAGACCCCCCAAAGAAGGGGACACACAGAGAGAGCCTCCCAAACCATCAGAGCCCCCAGGAAAAGGGGTCAAAGAGACCCCCCAAACCAGCAGAGCCCCTCAAAGAAGAGGGGGTCTTTGTGACTCCCAAACCAGCAGAGCCCCCAAATAAAAGGGGGTCAAAGAGACCCCCAAACCAGCAGAGCTCCCAGATAAAAGGGGGTCTTATTGACCCCCAAACCATCAGACCCCCCAAAAAAGGGGACACACAGAGAGACCCCCAAACCATCAGACCCCCAAATAAAAGGGGGTCAAAGAGACCCCCAAACCATCAGAGCCCCTCAAAGAAGGGGGGCCTTTAGACCCCCAAACCATCAGACTCCCCAAAAAAAGGGGGTCAAAGAGACCCCCAAACCATCAGACTCCCTCAAATAAAAGGGGGTCAAAGAGACTCCCCAAACCATCAGACCTCCCAAATAAAAGGGGGTCAAAGAGACCCCCAAACCAGCAGAGCCCCCTCAAATAAAAGGGGTCAAAGAGACTCCCAAACCATCAGACCCCCAAAAAAGGGGACACAGAGAGAGACCCCCAAACCAGCAGAGCCCCCAAGACAGGGGTCTAAAGACCCCCAAACCATCAGAGACCCCCAATAAAGGGGGTCAAAGAGACCCCCAAAAAGGGACACACAGAGAGAGACCCCCAAAAACCAGCAGAGCCCCCCAAATAAAAGGGGGGTCAAAGAGACCCCCCCCCCAAATAAAAGGGGGGTCAAAGAGACCCCCCCAAACCATCAGACCCCCCAAAAGAAGGGGCTCAAAGAGACCCCCAAATAAAAGGGGGTCAAAAGACCCCAAACCATCAGACCCCCCAAAAAAAGGGGACACACAAAGAGAGACCCCCAAAATAAAAACCTCCAGAAGAGGGGACCCCACCCACCCCAAACCCCCCAAAATAATCCCAGCACTGAACGTCTCAATAGATGATCCCAATCGGGATAATTAATTAATTTACACCTTAATTAATTTACACCTTAATTAATTTACACCTTCATTAATTTACACCTTCATTAATTTACACCTTCATTAATTTACACCTTAATTAATTTACGGGTGGGGGTGGGGGTTTTTGGGGTTGGATTTGCCTCTGGATTGAACAACCCCCCAAAATTAAATAAATTAATAAATAAATTAATCACGTCCCTTTTTCCCCAAAATTTCACGGGGGGAGTTCGGTAATTCCAGAGGGTGGATTTTTCCCCCTCCCCCACTTTTTTCCCCCTCCCCACTTTTTCCCCCTCCCCACTTTTTCTCCCCTCCCCACTTTTTCCCCCTCCCCACTTTTTCCCCCTCCCCACTTTTTTCCCCTCCCCACTTTTTCCCCCTCCCCACTTTTTCCCCTCCCCACTTTTTTTCCCCCTCCCCACTTTTTGCCCCTCCCCCACTTTTTTCCCCCTCCCCACTTTTTTCCCCCTCCCCACTTTTTTTCCCCCTCCCCACTTTTTTTCCCCCTCCCCACTTTTTTCTCCCCCTCCCCACTTTTTTTCCCCCTCCCCATCTTTTTTGCCCCCCTCCCCACTTTTTGCCCCTCCCCACTTTTTGCCCCCTCCCCACTTTTTTTCCCCCTCCCCACTTTTTGCCCCCTCCCCCCACTTTTTTCCCTCCCCCACTTTTTTTTCCCCTCCCCCACTTTTTTCCCCTCCCCACTTTTTTTCCCCTCCCCACTTTTTTTTTTGGGGGTTTTTTTGTTTGGGTTTTTTGGGGTTTTTTGGGGGTTTTTTTGGGGGTTTTTGGGGTCTTTTTTTGGGGGTGGTTTTTGGGGGTGGTTTTTGTTTTTTTTTGGGGGTGTTTTTGGTTTTTAGGGGGTTTTAGGGGTTTTGGGGGTTTTGGGTTTTTTTAGGGGTTTTTTGGGGGTGTTTTGAGGGTGCTTTTGGGGGGTTTTTAGGTGGGTGTTTTTGGAGTGGTTTTTTTTTTGGGGGTTTTTGGGTGTTTTTGGGTGGTTTTTTTGGGAGGGTTTTTGGGTGTTTTGGGGGTTTTCTTAGGGGTGCTTTTTGGGAGGTGTTTTTGGGGGTGTTTTGGGGTGTTTTTAGGGGTTTTTAAGGTTTTGGGGTGTTTTGGGTGTTTTAGAAGTTTTTAGGGTGTTTTTGGGGAAGTGTTTTGGGGTTTTTAGGGAGCTTTTTGGGGTTTTTAGAGTGTTTTTGGGGTGTTTTGGGAGTGTTTTTGGAGGTGTTTTTGAGGGGTGTTTTTGGTGGTTTTTAGGGTTGTTTTTCTGGGGTGTTTTTGGAGTGGTTTTTAGGGGTTTTTTTGAGGGTGTTTTTGGGAGTGTTTTTTGGGGGTGTTTTTGGGGTGTTGTTTTTGGGGGTTTTGGGAGGTTTTTAGAGTGTTTTTGGGGGCTTTTTTTGGGGAGTTTTTAAGGGTGTTTTTGGGGGGTCTTTGGGGTGCTTTTTGGGGGTTTGGGGGGGTTTTTGGGTTTTTTTAGAGTGTTTTTGGGGGTGTTTTTTGTTTGGGTTTGAGGGTGTTTTTTGGGGGTTTTTGGGAGGTGTTTTTGAGGGGTTTTGGGGGTTTTGGTTTTTGGTTTTTTTTTTAGGGGTTTTGAGGTGTTTTTTTAGGGTGTTTTTTGGTTTTTTTTTGTTTTTTTAGGGGTTTTTAGGGGTGGTGGTTTTTTGGGGGTGTTTTTTGGGGTTTTTTGGGGGTTGTTTTTTTGGGTTTTTTTTTTGGGGGGTTTGGGGGTGTTTTTTTTGTTTGTTTTTTTTTGGGGGGTTCAAACCGAGCGATTTTTGGGGTGTGGGAGGAAAAATCATCGCCCATCTCCCCCTTCCTCCCCCTCCATCATCTCCATCATCATCATCATCATCATCACCTCCCTCCCCCTCCTGCCGCGGGGTGGAATTTTGGGGGGGTTTTTAACAATTTTAAGGGTTTTTTTTTGCCCTCAGGGCCGCCTTTTGTCCTCCTCTTTCTCTCTGCCCCCCCGGGTTCGGTGTTGTTGATTTTTGGTGGGTTTTGTGATGTTTTTGGGGGTTTTTAAATGAAATATTCCTTTTTGTCGTCGGTGCCTCCCTGGCCGCCCTCGGCGTTGATGATCGCGGTGTCGGCGTCGGGGGCGTCGTCAGAGCCCTTGGCCTCGTGGGTCAGGTACGTGCCTGGAAAAAGGGGGGAAATTTGAGGTGAAAAATTAAATAAAAAGTGGAAAAAAAATCCTGAAGGTTCCCAGGAATTAAAGGGGTTGATGTGGAGATTAAAGGGAATTTTTTTAGGGGGGTTTTTTCAGCCCCAAAAATGGGTTTATTGAGTGATGTCGTGGGTCAGGAATGAGCCTGGAGAGGGGGAAATTTGAGATTAAAAATTAAATAAAAAGAGGAAAAAAAATCCTGAAGGTTCCCAAGATTAAAGGGGTTGGGGTGGAGATTAAAGGGAATTTTTTAGGGGGTTTTTTCAGCCCCAAAAATGGGTTTATTGAGTGATGTCATGGGTCAGGAATGAGCCTGGAGAGGGGAAATTTGAGATTAAATTTAAAAAAAAGGGAAAAAACCTCCAGGAATTAGGAATTAATTCCCAGGAATTAAAGGGGTTGGGGTGGAGATTAAAGGGAATTTTTTAGGGGGTTTTTTCAGCCCCAAAAATGGGTTTATTGAGTGATGTCATGGGTCAGGAACGTGCCTGGAAAAAGGGGGGAAAATGAGAAATTAAATTAAAAAAATCCCCAGGAATTAGGAATTAATTCCCAGGAATTAAAGGGGTTGGGGTGGAGATTAAAGGGAATTTTTTAGGGGGTTTTTTCAGCCCCAAAAATGGGTTTATTGAGTGATGTCATGGGTCAGGAATGAGCCTGGAGAGGGGAAAATTGAGATTAAAAATTAAAATAAAAAGAGGAAAAAAAATCCTGAAGGTTCCCAGGAATTAAAGGGGTTGATGTGGAGATTAAAGGGAATTTTTTAGGGGTTTTTTCAGCCCCAAAAATGAGTTTACTGAGTGAAAACACTCGAAGGGTTTGAGGTCATGGGTCAGGAATGAGCCTGGAAAAGGGGGGAAATTCGAGATTAAATTAAAAAAATTAGGAATTAATTCCCAGGAATTAAAGGGGTTGATGTGGAGAATAAAGGGAATTTTTTTAGGGGTTTTTTCAGCCCCAAAAATGGGTTTATTGAGTGATGTCATGGGTCAGGAATGAGCCTGGAGAGGGAGAAATTCGAGATTAAAATTAAATAAAAAGAGGAAAAAAAATCCTGAAGGTTCCCAGGAATTAAAGGGGTTGGGGTGGAGATTAAAGGGAATTTTTTAGGGGTTTTTCAGCCCCAAAAATGGGTTTATTGAGTGATGTCATGGGTCAGGTACGTGCCTGGAAAAAGGGAAATTCGAGATTAAATTAAAAAAAAATTAGGAATTAATTCCCAGGAATTAAAGGGGTTGATGTGGAGAATAAAGGGAATTTTTTAGGGGGTTTTTTCAGCCCCAAAAATGGGTTTATTGAGTGATGTCATGGGTCAGGAACGTGCCTGGAGAAGGGGGGGAAATTCGAGATTAAATTAAAAAAAAATTAGGAATTAATTCCCAGGAATTAAAGGGGTTGGGGTGGAGATTAAAGGGAATTTTTTAGGGGGGTTTTTTCAGCCCCAAAAATGGGTTTATTGAGTGATGTCATGGGTCAGGAATGAGCCTGGAGGGGAGAAATTGGAGATTAAATTAAATAAAAAGAGGAAAAAAAATCCTGAAGGTTCCCAGGAATTAAAGGGGTTGGGGGGGAGATTAAAGGGAATTTTTTTAGGGGGGTTTTTTCAGCCCCAAAAATGGGTTTATTGAGTGATGTCATGGGTCAGGAACGAGCCTGGAGAGGGGAAATGGGAGATTAAAAATTAAATAAAAAGAGGAAAAAAAACTCCAGGAATTAGGAATTAATTCCCAGGAATTAAAGGGGTTGGGGTGGAGATTAAAGGGAATTTTTTAGGGGGTTTTTTCAGCCCCAAAAATGGGTTTATTGAGTGATGTCATGGGTCAGGAATGAGCCTGGAGAGGGGAGGAAATTTGAGGTTAAAAATAAAATAAAAAGGGGAAAAAAATCCCCAGGTTTACCGACCCTGATTTAAGTGCCATTGTTTTATCTGGTGTTGATTTCAGTGTCATTGGTTTATTGACCCTGATTTAAGTCTTGTTGGTTTAATTTGGCCTTGACTTAAGTGCTGTTGGTTTATTTGATCTTGGCTTAAGTGCCATTGGTTTATCTGGTCTTGATTTCAGTGTCACTGGTTTACTGACCCTGATTTAAGTGTCATTGGTTTGTTTGGTGTTGATTTCAGTGTCATTGGTTTATTTGGACTTGATTTAAGTGTCATTGATTTATTGACCCTGATTTCAGTGTCATTGCTTTATTGACCCTGATTTCAGTGCCATTGGTTTATCTGGTCTTGATTTCAGTGTCATTGCTTTATTTGGGCTTGATTTAAGTCTTGTTGGTTTAATTGGTCTTGACTTAAGTGTCATTGGTTTATCTGGTGTTGATTTCAGTGTCATTGGTTTATTGACCCTGATTTAAGTCTTGTTGGTTTATCTGGTCTTGGTTTAAGTGCCATTGGTTTATTGGACCCTGATTTAAGTGTCATTGGTTTATTGACCCTGATTGAAGTCTTGCTGGTTTAATTGGGCTTGATTTAAGTGGCATTGGTTTAATTGGTCTTGATTTAAGTCTTGTTGGTTTAATTGGGCTTGACTTAAGTGCTGTTGATTTATTGACCCTGATTTAAGTGTCATTGGTTTATTTTGGCTTAATTTAAGTGTCATTGGTTTATCTGGTCTTGATTTAAGTGTCGTTGGTTTATTTGGGCTTGACTTAAGTGCTGTTGGTTTATTTGGGCTTGATTTAAGTCTTGTTGGTTTAATTGGCCTTGACTTAAATCAATGCTGTTGGTTTAATTGGTCTTGACTGAAATGTCATTGGTTTAATTGGTCTTGATTTAAATGTTGTTGGTTTATTGACCCTGATTTAAGTGTCATTGCTTTATTTGGTCTTGACTTAAGTCTTGTTGGTTTATTTGGTCTTGACTTAAGTTTCATTGGTTTATTTGGGCTTGATTTAAGTCTTGCTGGTTTAATTGGTTTTGATTTAAGTGTCATTGGTTTATTGACCCTGATTTAAGTGTCATTGCTTTATTTGGTCTTGACTTAAGTGCTGTTGGTTTATTGACCCTGATTTAAGTGCTGTTGGTTTATCTGGGCTTGATTTAAATTTTCTTGGTTTATCTGGTCTTGACTTAAGTGTCATTGGTTTATTGACCCTGATTTCAGTGTCACTGTTTTATTGATCCTGATTTAAGTGTCATTGGTTTATTTGGGCTTGATTTAAGTCTTGTTGGTTTATCTGGGCTTGATTTAAATGTTCTTGGTTTATTTGGGGTTGATTTAAGTGCTTGTTGGTTTATTTGATCTTGACTTAAGTGTCGTTGGTTTAATTGGTCTTGACTTAAGTCTTGTTGGTTTATTGACCCTGATTTAAGTATCATTGGTTTATCTGGTCTTGATTTCAGTGTCATTGGTTTATCTGGTGTTGATTTAAGTCTTGTTGGTTTATCTGGTGTTGATTTCAGTGCCATTGGTTTATTTGGCCTTGATTTAAGTCTTGTTGGTTTATTTCGCCTTGACTTAAGTGCTGTTGGTTTATTTGATCTTGGCTTAAGTGCCATTGGTTTATTTGGCCTTGATTTAAGTGTCATTGGTTTGTTTGGTGTTGATTTAAGTGTCATTGGTTTATTGACCCTGATTTAAATTGTAATTGGTTTATCTGGTGTTGATTTCAGTGTCATTGGTTTACTGACCCTGATTTCAGTGTCATTGGTTTATTGACCCTGATTTAAGTGCCATTGGTTTATTGACCCTGATTTCAGTGCCATTGGTTTATCTGGTATTGATTTAAGTCTTGTTGGTTTATCTGGTGTTGATTTCAGTGTCATTGGTTTATTTGACCCTGATTTCAGTGCCATTGGTTTATCTGGTGTTGATTTCAGTGCCATTGGTTTATCTGGTGTTGATTTAACTGTCACTGGTTTACTGACCCTGATTTAAGTGTCATTGGTTTATCTGGTGTTGATTTAACTGTCATTGGTTTATTGACCCTGATTTCAGTGTCATTGGTTTATCTGGTGTTGATTTCAGTGTCATTGGTTTATTGACCCTGATTTAAGTGCCATTGGTTTATTTACCCTGATTTAAATTGTAATTGGTTTATCTGGTCTTGATTTAAGTGCCATTGGTTTATTGACCCTGATTTAAGTGCCATTGGTTTATTTACCCTGATTTAAATTGTAATTGGTTTATCTGGTCTTGATTTAAGTGTCATTGGTTTATTGACCCTGATTTCAGTGCCATTGGTTTATCTGGTGTTGATTTAAGTATCACTGGTTTATTTGGGCTTGATTTAAGTCTTGTTGGTTTATCTGGTCTTGGTTTAAGTGTCACTGGTTTACTGACCCTGATTTAAGTGTCATTGGTTTATCTGGTGTTGATTTCAGTGTCACTGGTTTACTGACCCTGATTTAAGTGCCATTGGTTTATCTGGTCTTGATTTAAGTCTTGTTGGTTTATTTGATCTTGATTAAAGTGTCATTGGTTTATCTGGTCTTCATTTCAGTGCCATTGGTTTATCTGGTGTTAATTTAAGTATCACTGGTTTACTGAACCTGATTTTAATTGTCATTGGTTTATCTGGTCTTGATTTAAGTGTCATTGGTTTATTGACCCTGATTTAAGTGTCATTGGTTTCTCTGGTCTTGATTTAAGTGTCATTGGTTTATTTGGGTTTGATTTCAGTGTCACTGGTTTACTGACCCTGATTTCAGTGCCATTGGTTTATCTGGTGTTGATTTAAGTGTCATTGGTTTATTTGGGCTTGATTTAAATGTTTTTGGTTTATCTGGTCTTGATTCAAGTGCCATTGGTTTACTGGCCCTTATTTCAGTGTCATTGGTTTATCTGGTGTTGATTTCAGTATCACTGGTTTACTGACCCTGATTTAAGTGTCATTGGTTTATCTGGTCTTGATTTAAGTGTCATTGGTTTATTGACCCTGATTTAAGTCTTGTTGGTTTATTTGATCTTGATTTCAGTGTCATTGGTTTATTGACCCTGATTTCAGTGCCATTGGTTTATCTGGTGTTGATTTAAGTGTCATTGCTTTATCTGGTGTTGATTTAAGTGTCATTGGTTTACTGACCCTGATTTAAGTGCCATTGGTTTATCTGCTGTTGATTTCAGTGTCATTGGTTTGTTTGGTGTTGATTTCAGTATCACTGGTTTACTGACCCTGATTAAAGTGCCATTGGTTTATCTGGGCTTGATTTAAGTCTTGTTGGTTTATTTGATCTTGATTTAAGTGCCATTGGTTTATTTGGGCTTGATTTAAGTGTCACTGGTTTATTGACCCTGATTTCAGTGTCATTGGTTTATTTGGGCTTGATTTAAGCCTTGTTGCTTTATTCGGCCTCGATTTAAGTCGGGGCCACCTCAACCCCCAACCCCCTGACCCTTCACCCACCACCCCAAACAAACCCCTCAGGGACCCCCAACCCCCCCTGCAGCCCCCCCTGGTACCTTTGTGCCTGATCAGGTAGTGGCCCAGCACGATGAGGAGGCTGAGCAGGAGGAAGACGATGACGGCCACGACGCCGCCGATGAGGGCGTGGTAGGTGCCCGAGCCCGAGGGCACCGGGCTGGCATCTGCAGGGGGACACACAGGGGGACAGAGAAGGTTCAGAAATCCTGGAGGGGGGGGTGGCACCACCAGGGTGGCTCCACCACGGCCACGCTCGGTGTTGGCGGTTCGAAGAGGGGGAAATTTGGGGGTTTGGGTTCAAAATGAGGGGACTGGGGTCAAAATGGGGGTTTGGGTTCAAAATGGGGGTTGGGGTCAAATGGGGGTTGACCCCAAAATGGAGAGGTTTGGCCCAAAATGGGGGTTTGGGTTCAAAGTGAGGGGGTTTGGTTCAAAATGGGGTTTGGGCTCAAAAATGAGGGGGTTTGGGTTCAAAATGGAGGGTTTGGGTTCAAAATGGGGGTTTGGGTTCAAAATGGGGGTTTGGGGTCAAAATGGGGGTTTGGGTTCAGAATGGGGGGTTTGGGGTCAGAATAGGGGGTTTGACCCCAAAATGGGGGTTGGGGTCAAAAGGGGGTTTGGGTTCAAAATGGGGGCTTTGGGTCAAATTGGGGGTTTGGGTTCAGAATGGGGGATTGGGGTCAAAATGAGGGGGTTTGGGTTCAAAATGGGGGTGGGTTCAAAATGAGAGGGTTTGAGTTCAAAATGGGGGGTTTGGGGTCAAAATGGGGGGTTTGGGTTCAAAATAGGGGGTTTGGGGTTCAAAATGGGGGTTTGGGCTCAAAAAGGGGGATTGGGGTCAAAATGGGGGATTGGGGTCAAAATGAGGGGGTTTGGGGTCAAAATGGGGGGTTGGAGTCAAAATGGGGGTTTGGGTTCAAAATGGGGTTTGGGGTCAAAATGAGGGGGTTTGGGTTCAGAATGGGGGTTTGGGTTCAGAATGGGGGTTGGGTTCAAAATGAGGGGTTTGGGTTCAAAATGGGGGTTTGGGTTCAAAATGGGGGTTTGGGGTTCAAAAATGGGGGTTTGGGTCAAAATGAGGGGGTTTGGGTCTCAAAAGGGGGATTGGGGTCAAAATGGGGGTTGGGGTCAAAAGGGGGTTTGGGTTCAAAAGAGGGGTTTGGGTTCAAAAGGGGGTTTGGGTTCAATTAGGGGTTGACCCCAAAATGGAGGGGTTGGGTTCAAAATGGGGGGGTTTAAGTTCAAAATGGGGGTTTGGGTTCAAAATGGGGGGGGTTGGGCTCAGAATGGGGGGGGTTGGGCACGTGGTGGGGGCCCAAGAGGCTGGAACAAGGAGTGGTGGCACCTCGAGGGGTGGTGGTGGCACTCCAAGGGGGGGTGGTGGCACATCGAGGGTGGTGGCACCTCAAGGGGGTGGTGGCACCTCAAGGGGGGGTGGTTGTACCTGGCCACGACGCTGCCCATGGCGCTGGTGGCCGTGCAGACGTGGGGGACACACACAGGGACACAGGGACAGGGTGACACACAGGGTGACAGGGTGACAGGGTGACAGGGTGACACACACAGGGTGACAAACAGTGCCAATCACTCACCACTGACATCGAGGTTGTACTTGGCCACGACGCTGCCCATGGCGCTGGTGGCCGTGCAGACGTGGGGGACACACACAATGACACACACAGGGACACACACAGGGACACACACAGGGACACAGGGACAGGGTGACAGGGTGACACACAGGGTGACAGGGTGACAATCACTCACCACTGACATCCAGGTTGTACTTGGCCACGACGCTGCCCATGGCGCTGGTGGCCGTGCAGACGTGGGGGACACACACAGGGACACACACAATGACACACACAGGGACACACACAGGGACACACAGGGTGACAGGGTGACAATGACAATCACTCACCACTGACATCCAGGTTGTACTTGGCCACGACGCTGCCCATGGCGCTGGTGGCCGTGCAGACGTAGGGGACACACACAGGGACACACACAGGGACACAGGGACATGGTGACACTCACAATGACACACACAGGGACACACACAGTGACACAGTGCCAATCACTCACCACTGACATCGAGGTTGTACTTGGCCACGACGCTGCCCATGGCGCTGGTGGCCGTGCAGACGTGGGGGACACACACAGGGACAGGGTGACAGGGTGACAGGGTGACAGGGTGACACACAGGGTGACAATGACAATCACTCACCACTGACATCGAGGTTGTACTTGGCCACGACGCTGCCCATGGCGCTGGTGGCCGTGCAGACGTAGGGGACACACACAGGGACACAGGGACAGGGTGACACACACAGTGACACACACAGGGACACAGTGACAATCACTCACCACTGACATCCAGGTTGTACTTGGCCACGACGCTGCCCATGGCGCTGGTGGCCGTGCAGACGTGGGGGACACACACAGGGACACACACAGGGACAGGGTGACAGGGTGACACACACAGGGACACACACAGGGACACACACAATGACACACACAGTGACACACACAGGGACACACAGGGTGACAATGACAATCACTCACCACTGACATCCAGGTTGTACTTGGCCACGACGCTGCCCATGGCGCTGGTGGCCGTGCAGACGTAGGGGACACACACAGGGACACAGGGACAGGATGACACACACAGGGACACACACAGGGACAGGGTGACACACAGGGTGACACACAGGGTGACACTCACCACTGACATCGAGGTTGTACTTGGCCACGACGCTGCCCATGGCGCTGGTGGCCGTGCAGACGTGGGGGACACACACAGGGACACACACAATGACACACACAGGGACACACACAGGGACACACACAGGGACACAGGGACAGGGTGACACACACAGTGACACACAGGGTGACAGGGTGACACACAGGGTGACACACAGGGTGACACACAGGTTGCCAATCACTCACCACTGACATCCAGGTTGTACTTGGCCACGACGCTGCCCATGGCGCTGGTGGCCGTGCAGACGTAGGTGCCGCTGTCGCTCTTGTTGAGGAAGGGGAAGATGAGGACGCTGTCCGAGCTCAGCTGCAGGGGAGCCTCCAGGCCCTCCTTCTCCCACAGGAACTCCTGGGGGCTGCAATGGGAATGTTGGGAATGTTGGGATCAGTGGGAATGATGGGAATGATGGGAATGATGGGAATGGAGGGAAGATGAGGGAAGATGAGGACGCTGTCCGAGCTCAGCTGCAGGGGAGCCTCCAGGCCCTCCTTCTCCCACAGGAACTCCTGGGGGCTGCAATGGGAATGTTGGGAATTATGGGAATGTTGGGAATGTTGGGATCATCAATGGGAATGATGGGAATGATGGGAATGGAGGGAAGATGAGGGAAGATGAGGACGCTGTCCGAGCTCAGCTGCAGGGGAGCCTCCAGGCCCTCCTTCTCCCACAGGAACTCCTGGGGGCTGCAATGGGAATGTTGGGAATGTTGGGATCATCAATGGGAATGTTGGGAATGTTGGGATCAATGGGAATGATGGGAATGGAGGGAAGATGAGGGAAGATGAGGACGCTGTCCGAGCTCAGCTGCAGGGGAGCCTCCAGGCCCTCCTTCTCCCACAGGAACTCCTGGGGCTGCAATGGGAATGTTGGAATGTTGATCACAAGGAATGTTGGGATCATCAATGGGAATGATGGGAATGATGGGAATAATGGGAATGTTGGGATCATCAATGGGAATGATGGGAATGATGGGAATGATGGGAATGATGGGAATGGAGGGAAGATGAGGGAAGATGAGGACGCTGTCCGAGCTCAGCTGCAGGGGAGCCTCCAGGCCCTCCTTCTCCCACAGGAACTCCTGGGGGCTGCAATGGGAATGTTGGGAATGTTGGGATCATCAATGGGAATGTTGGGATCATCAATGGGAATGATGGGAATGATGGGAATAATGGGAATGTTGGGATCATCAATGGGAATGATGGGAATGATGGGAATGATGGGAATGATGGGAATGGAGGGAAGATGAGGGAAGATGAGGACGCTGTCCGAGCTCAGCTGCAGGGGAGCCTCCAGGCCCTCCTTCTCCCACAGGAACTCCTGGGGGCTGCAATGGGAATGTTGGGAATGTATGGGAATGTTGGGAATGTTGGGATCATCAATGGGAATGATGGGAATGATGGGAATGATGGGAATGGAGGGAAGATGAGGGAAGATGAGGACGCTGTCCGAGCTCAGCTGCAGGGGAGCCTCCAGGCCCTCCTTCTCCCACAGGAACTCCTGGGGGCTGCAATGGGAATAATGGGAATGTTGGGATCAATGGGAATGATGGGAATGTTGGGAATGTTGGGATCAGTGGGAATGATGGGAATGTTGGGAATGATGGGATCAATGGGAATGATGGGAATGTTGGGAATGTTGGGATCAGTGGGAATGATGGGAACGATGGGAATGATGGGAATGATGGGAATAATGGGAATGGGGGAGGGAAAGGGTGTCCCCTCCTGCTCCCATGGGAATTCCTGGGGGCTGGAATGGGAATAATGGGAATTATGGGATCATGGGAATGATGGGAATGATGGGAGTGATGGGAATAATGGAAATGATGGGAATAATGGGAATGGGGCAGGGAAAGGGTGTCCCCTCCTGCTCCCATGGGAATTCCTGGGGCTGGAATGGGAATGTTGGAATGATGGGATCAATGGGAATGATGGGAATAATGGGAATAATGGGAATAATGGGAATGATGGGAATGATGGGAATGGGGGGAAAGGGTATCCCCTCCTGCTCCCACAGGAACTCCTGGGGGATGGAATGGGAATGATGGGAATGGGAGGGAGGAAAGGCTGCCCTCTCCTTCTCCCACAGGAATGGGATGGGATGGGATGGGATGGGATGGGATGGGATGGGATGGGATGGGATGGGATGGGATGGGATGGGATGGGATGAGATGGGATGGATGGATGGGATGGATGATGGGATGGATGGATGGGATGGGATGGGATGGGATGGGATGGGATTGATGGGATGGGATGGATGGGATGGGATGGGATGGGATGGGATGGGATGGGATGGGATGGGATGGGATGGGATGGATGGGATGGGATGGGATTGATGGGATGGGATGGGATGGGATGGGATTGATGGGATGGGAATAGGAATGGGATAGGAATGGGAATGGGGAGGAAAGGGTGTCCCCTCCTGCTCCCATGGGAATTTCTGAGGGCTGGAACGGGATGGGAGCGGGAATAGGGGTGGGAAAGTTTAGGGATGATCCAGGAGGGATCTGCTGGATCAGGGACGATCCAGGAGGGATCTGGTGGATCGGGGATGATCCAGGAGGGATCTGCTGGATCAGGGGAGGAGTTTGGGGTGGATTTGGGGCAGGAGGAGGATTTTGGGGAGGGTTTGGGGTGGATTTGGGGCAGGGTAGGAGGACGGGGAGGGGTTTTGGGTGGATTTAGGGCGGGACAGGAGGATTTTTGGTGGGTTTGGGGTGGATTTAGGGCAGGAGGAGGATTTTGAGGAGGGGTTTTGGGTGGATTTAGGGCGGGCCAGGAGGATGGGGAGGGGTTTGGTGGATTTGGGGCGGGACAGGAGGATTTTGGGGAGGGTTTTGGGTGGATTTAGGGCAGGAGGAGGATTTTGGGGTGGGTTTGGGGTGGATTTAGGGCAGGAGGAGGATTTTGGGGAGGGTTTTGGGTGGATTTAGGGCAGGAGGAGGATTTTGGGGAGGGTTTTGGGTGGATTTAGGGCAGGAGGAGGATTTTGGGGAGGGTTTTGGTTTGGTGGATTTGGGGGGAGAGTGGGATTTGGGGAGGGCTTTGGATTTGGGGCAGGAGGAGGATTTTGGGGAAGGTTTTGGTGGATTTAGGGCAGGGCAGGAGGATGGGGAGGGGTTTTGGGTGGATTTGGGGCGGGACAGGAGGATTTTTGGTGGGTTTGGGGTGGATTTAGGGCAGGAGGAGGATTTTGAGGAGGGTTTTTGGGTGGATTTGGGGCAGGAGGAGGATTTTGGGGAGGGTTTTTGGGTGGATTTAGGGCAGGAAGAGGATTTTGGGGAGGGTTTTTGGGTGGATTTGGGGTGGGATAGAGCGGGAAGAGGAGGATGGGGAGGGGTTTGGGGTGGATTTAGGGCAGGAGGAGGATTTTGGGGAGGGTTTTGGGTGGATTTAGGGCAGGAGGAGGATTTTGGGGAGGGTTTTGGGTGGATTTGGGGCAGGAGGAGGATTTTGGGGAGGGATTTTGGGTGGATTTAGGGCAGGAGGAGGATTTTGGGGAGGGTTTTGGGTGGATTTAGGGCAGGAGGAGGATTTTGGGAAGGGTTTTTGGGTGGATTTGGGGCAGGAGGAGGATTTTGGGAAGGGTTTTTGGGTGGATTTGGGGCAGGAGGAGGATTTTGGGGTGGGTTTGGGGTGGGATAGAGCGGGAAGAGGAGGATGGGGAGGGGTTTTGGGCGGATTTGGGGCAGGAGGAGGATTTTGGGGAGGGTTTTGGGGTGGATTTAGGGCAGGGCAGGAGGATGGGGAGGGGTTTTGGGTGGATTTAGGGCAGGAGGAGGATGGGGAGGGGTTTGGGGTGGATTTAGGGCAGGAGGAGGATTTTGGGAGGGTTTTGGGTGGATTTAGGGCAGGAGGAGGATTTTGGGGAGGGTTTTTGGGTGGATTTAGGGCAGGAGGAGGATTTTGGGGAGGGTTTTGGGTGGATTTAGGGCAGGAGGATGATTTTGGGGAGGGTTTTTGGGTGGATTTGGGGCAGGAGGAGGATTTTGAGGAGGGTTTTGGGTGGATTTAGGGCGGGACAGGAGGATTTTGGGGAGGGTTTGGGTGGATTTAGGGCAGGAGGAGGATTTTGGGAGGGTTTTGGGTGGATTTAGGGCAGGAGGATGATTTTGGGAGGGTTTTGGGTGGATTTGGGGCAGGAGGATGATTTTGGGAGGGTTTGGGTGGATTTGGGGTGGATAGGCGGGAAGAGGAGGATGGGGAGGGTTTGGGGTGGATTTAGGGCAGGAGGAGGATTTTGGGGAGGGTTTTGGGTGGATTTGGGGCAGGAGGATGATTTTGGGGAGGGGTTTTGGGGTGGATTTGGGGTGGGATAGAGCGGGAAGAGGAGGATGGGGAGGGGTTTTGGGTGGATTTAGGGCGGGGCAGGAGTTTGGGGAGGGGTTTTTGGGGAGGAGGGGCCTTACATGGGGTTGCCCTGCCCATCGCACTGCAGCTGCAGCTTCTCCCCCTCGCGCGGGTACTGCGGGTGGGGCTCGATCCGCGCCGTGGGTTTGTCTGCAGGGGGGGGACACGGAGGGGTGAGGGACCCCAAAAAATGACCCTGGAACCCCAAAAAGTGGCCCTGGAACCCCAAAACTGAGACTGGAACCCCAAAAAACGGCCCTGGAACCCCAAAACTGAGCCTGGAACCCCAAAAAATGGCCCTGGAACCACAAAAAGTGGCCCTGGAGCCCCAAAAAGTGTGCCTGGAACACCAAAACTGAGCCTGGAACCTCGAAAAGTGGCCCTGGAACCCCGAAAAGTGTCACTGGAGCCCCCAAAACTGAGCCTGGAACCCCAAAAAGTGGCCCTGGAACCCCCAAAAGTGGCCCTGGAACCACAAAACTGAGCCTGGAACCCCAAAAACTGACACTGGAACCCCAAAAACTGAGCCTGGAACCCCAAAAAGTGGCCCTGGAACCCCCAAAAGTGGCCCTGGAACCACAAAACTGAGCCTGGAACCCCAAAAACTAAGCCTGGAACCCCCAAAAATGGCCCTGGAACCACAAAAAGTGGCCCTGGCACCCCAAAAAGTGGCCCTGGAACACCAAAAACTGAGCCTGGAATGCCAAAACCTGCCCCTTAAACCCCAAAAACTGAGCCTGGAAAGCCAAAAACTGACACTGGAACACCAAAAAGTGGCCCTGACACCCAAAAAAGTGGCCCTGGAACCCCAAAACTGAGCCTGGAACCACAAAAAGTGTCACTGGAACCCCAAAAATTGGCCTTGGAACCCCAAAAATTGAGCCTGGAACCCCAAAAATGACCCTGGTACCCCCAAAACTGAGGCCGGTACCCCAAAAACTAACCCTGGAATGCCAGAAAATGTCACTGGAACATCAAAAACTGCCCCTGGTAGCCAAAAAAACTGAGCCTGGCACCCCCAAAATTGCCCCTGGCACCCCAGACCCCACCCTGACCCCTGGCACCCCAAAATTGCCTCTAGCACCCCAAAATTACACCTGGCACACCCCCAAACCGACCCCTGACCTCCTGGCACCCCAAAATTGCCCCTGGCACCCCCAAACCTACCCCTGGCACCCCCAACCCCACCCCTGACCCCTGGCACCCCCAAAATTACCCTGGCACCCCAAAATCGCCCTCTAGCACCCGAAACCTGCCCCTGACCCCCCAAACCTACCCCTGGTACCCCAAACTTGCCCCTGCCCCCTGGCACGTCCAGTGGAGCTGCAGCCTCTCGCTGGTGGCCCTGTGGGAGCCGTGCAGGGCCTCGTGGTCCACGGAGCAGCTGACCTGGGCCCCTGGCACCCCTAAACCCACCCCTGACCCCTGGCACCCCCTAAACCCACCCTGACCCCTGGCACCCCCAAAACTACACCTGGTAGCCCCAAAATTGCACCTGGTGCCCCAAAATTACTCCTGGCACCCCCAACCCCACCCCTGACCCCTGGCACACCCAAAACTCACCCCTGGTGCCCCTAAACCTGCCCCTTAAACCCCTCAAAACTACCCTGGCACCTCAACCCCACCCCTGACCCCTGGCACCCTCAAAATTACCCTGGCACCCCAAAATTACACCTGGTACCCCCAAACCTGCCCTGGCACCCCAAAATTACCCCTGACACCACAAAATTACACCTGGCACCCCAAAATTACCCTGGCACACCCCCAACCCCACCCTGACCCCTGGCACCCCCAAAATTCCCTGGCACCCCCAAACTTGCTCTTGGTGCCCCAAAACTTACCCCTTGGCACCCCAAAATTGCCCCCTGGCACTCCTAAATTTACCCCCTGGCACCCCCAAATTTACCCCTGGCACCTCCAAAATTGCCCCTGGTACCCCCAAATTTACCCCTGGCACCCCCAAATTTACCCCTGGCACCCCTAAATTGTCCCCTGGCATGCCCAAACCTGCCCTGGCCCCACCAAACCCACCCCTGACCCCTGGTACCCCAAAATTGCCCCTGGTACCCCCCTAACCCCACCCCCGCCCCCTGCCACCCCCAGAATTACCCCTGGCACCCCCAAAATTACACCTGGCACCTCCAAAATTACACCTGGAAACCCCAAAATTACCCCTGACACCCCAAAATTACCCCTGGCACCCCAAAATTACCCCTGACACCCCCAAAATTACCCTGGCACCCCCAAAATTACACCTGGCACCCCCAAACTTACCCCTGGCCCCTCCAAAATTGCCCCTGCCCCCTGGCACCCCAAAATTACCCTCCCACCCCCAAACTTACCCCTGACACCCCAAACCTGCCCCTTAAAGCCCCCAAAACTACCCCTGGCACCCCAAAATCGCCTCTAGCACCCCCAAACTTGCCCCTGGCACCCCAACCTGCCCCTTAAACCCCCAAAATTACCCCTGGCACCCCCAAAATTGCCTCTAGCACCCCTCAAACTTACCCCTGGCACCCCCAAACTTACCCCTGGCACTCCCAAAATTGCCCCTGGCACCCCAAAATTGCCCCTGGCACTCCCAAACTTGCCCCTGGCACTCCCAAAATTGCCCCTGGCACCCCAAAATTGCCCCTGGCACCCCCCAACCCCACCCCTGAGCCCCTGGCACACCCAAAATTGCCCCTGGTGCCCCCAAACCTGCCCCTTAAACCCCCCAAATTACCCTGGCACCCCCAAAATTACCCCTGGCACACCCCCAACCCCACCCCTGACCCCTGGCACCCCCAAACCTGCCCCTGGCACCCCAAAATTGACTCTAGTGCCCCCAACCCCACCCCTGACCCCCTGGTACCCCCAAAATTGCCCCTGATGCCCCCAAAACTACCCCCTGACACCCCAAAATCGCCTCTAGCACCCTGAAACTTGCCTCTACCACCCCCAAACTTGCCCCTGGCACCCCTAACCCCACCCTGCCCCCCTGGCACGTCCAGTGGAGCTGCAGCCTCTCGCTGGGGCCCTCTGGGAGCCGTGCAGGGCCTCGTGGTCCACGGAGCAGCTGACCTGGGCCCCCTGGCACCCCCTAAACCCACCCCTGACCCCTGGCACCCCCTAAACCCACCCCCTGACCCCCTGGCACCCCAAAATTACCCTGGCACCCCCTAAACCCACCCCTGACCCCTGGCACCCCCAAAGTACCCCTGGCACCCCCAAAATTACACCTGGCCCCACCAAACTTACCCCTGGCACTCCCAAAATTACACCTCGCACCCCCAAAATTACACCTGGCACCCCAAACTTGCCCCTTAAACCCCCAAAACTACCCCCTGGCACCCCCAAAATTACCCCTGGCCCCACCAACCCCACTCCTGACCCCCAAAATTGCCCCTGGCACCCCCAAAATTGCCTCTAGCACCCCCAAAATTGCACCTGGCACCCCCAAACTTGCCCCTGGCACCCCCAAACTTGCCCCTGCCCCCCTGGCACGTACAGTGGACCTGCAGCCTCTCGCTGGGGGCCCTGTGGGAGCCGTGCAGGGCCTCGTGGTCCACGGAGCAGCTGACCTGGGCCCCCTGGCACCCCCCTAAACCCAGCCCTGACCCCCTGGCACCCCCAAAACTTATCCCTGGTACACCCAAAATTACCCCTGGTACACCCAAAATTACACCTGGTGCCCCAAAATTACACCTGGCACCCCCAAAATTACACCTGGCACACCCAAACTTGCCCCTGGTGCCCCCAAACCTGTCCCTTAAACCCCCCAAAACTATCCCTGGCACCCCCAAACCTGCCCCTGGCACCCCCAAAATTGCCCCTGGCACCCCCAAACTTGCCCCTGGCACCCCCAAAATGGTCCCTGGCACCCCCAAAGTTGCTCCTGACACCCCCAAACCTACCCCTGGTACCCAAAAACTTACCCTTGGCACCCCCAACCTGCCCCTTAAACCCCCCAAACTTGCCCCTGACACCCCAAAATCGCCTCTAGCACCCTGAAACTTGCCCCTACCACCCCCAAACTTGCCCCTGGCACCCTGGCACGTACAGTGGACCTGCAGCCTCTCGCTGGTGGCCCTGTGGGAGCCGTGCAGGGCCTCGTGGTCCACGGAGCAGCTGACCTGGGCCCCGTCCTCGTCCTTGGTCACCCGGAACTCCACCCGGCTGCTCACCGTGAACGTCTTCCCGTTGGGGTCCTCCTGCACCTCCACACTCGAGGCTGGGGGGCACAGGGGGGGTAGCAGAGATCACCAGGGGGTTACAGGGGAGGGGGTGGCACCCTGGGGGCAACAAAGATTGGGGGGGTGGTTGGGGGAGGGATTGGATGGGATTGGTCAAGGGTAGGGCGGGAGCGGTTTGGGAGTTGTGGTGGGGGGTTCTTGGGGGTTGTTTGGTGTCACAGGGTACATCCAGCACAGCCCAGCCCAGCCATCTCATTCCATCCATCCCATTCATCCCTACCTATCCTATCTGTGCCACCCAGCCCAGCCCAGCCCAGCCCATCCCATCCCAGCCCAGCCCAGCCCAGCCCAGCCCATCCCATCCCATCTCATCCATCTCATTCCATCCTACCCATCCCATCCCAGCCCAGCCCATCCCATCCCATCCATCCCATCCCATCCCATCCTGTCTCATCCCATCCAGCCCATCCAGCCCATCTGTGCCATCCAGCCCATCCAGCCCATCCAGTCCATCCCATCCCATCCATCCCATCCATCCCATCCATCTCATTCCATCCCACCCAGCCCATCCAGCCTCATCCCATCCCAGCCCAGCCCAGCCCATCCATCCAATCCCATCATCTCATTCCATCCATACCCATCCCACCCCATCCCATCCCATCCAATCCCATCCCATCCCATCCCATCCCATCCCATCCATCCTATCTGTGCCATCCATCCCATCCATCCCATCCATCCCTATCCCATCCCATCTGTGCCATCCATCCCATCTATCCCAGCCCAGCCCATCCCATCCCATCCCATCCCATCCCATCCCATCCCATCCCATCCCATCCCAGCCCAGCCCATCCCATCCCATCCCATCCCATCCATCTCATTCCATCCTACCCATCCCATCCCATCCCATCCCATCCCATCCCATCCCATCCCATCCCATCCCATCCCATCCCATCCTATCTGTGCCACTCCAGCCCATCCATCCCATCCCATCCATCCCATCCAGTCCATCCCAGTCCATCCCATCCCATCCCATCCATCCCATCCCATCCCATCCCACCCCATCCCATCTGTCCTACCCCATCCCATCCCATCCCATCCCATCCCATCCCATCCCATCCCATCCCATCCATCCCAGTCCATCCATCTCTCCCATCCCATCCCATCCCATCCATCCCATCCCATCTGTCCATCCACCCCATCCCATCTGTCCTATCCCATCCCATCCCATCCCATCCCATCCCATCCCATCCCATCCCATCCCATCCATCCCACCCATCCCATCTATCCCATCCCATCCCATCCCATCCCATCCATCCCATCCCATCCCATCCCATCCCATCCCATCCCATCCCATCCCATCCCATCCCATCCCATCCCATCCCATCCCATCCCATCCCATCCATCTCATTCCATCCTACCCATCCCATCCATCCCATCCCATCCCATCCCATCCCATCCCATCCCATCCAGCCCAGCCCATCCCATCCATCCTATCTGTGCCACCCTGGTGGCTCCCACCCTTCCATCCTGTCCCCTTTTCCCCCCCTGGGATGTTTTTGGGTGTCACCTTTGAGCTCCCTGTCGCCCAGGTGCCACCTCATCCATTGACAGATATCCTGGAATCATCCCCGGACTTTTCCCCCCCTTTCCATCCTGTCCCCTCCCCCTGGGGGGTGTTTTGTGGTGTTTTGGGGTGTTTTGGGGTGTTTTTAGGGGTGTTTTGGGGTGTTTTGGGGTGTTTTGGGGTGTTTTGGGGTGTTTTGGGGT